CAGGGCCTCACCAGGAGCCGCCTCCCCCGCCAAGCCGAGCTCTCTGGACCTGGCGCCCAGCCTGCCCAAGGCGACCCTCCCACGGTCACCCGCCCTGCCTCGGCCCTCCCGCTCCTCGCCAGGCCTCTACACAGCCCCGGGCCAGGACGGCCTCCAGCCCACTGCCGTGAGCCCCACCTACAGCAGCGACATCTCCCCTGTGTCTCCCTCCAGAGCCTGGTCTCCCCGAGCCAAGCAGGCCCCCAGGCCCTCCTTCAACACCCGGAATGCCGGGATCGAGGCTCAGGTGTGGAAGCCTTCCTTCTGCTTCAAGTAACGGACCCACAGGGATCCCACTGCCTGTCAGGGCCCCATCTCTGAGGGCAGGATGGAAAGCAGATGTGGCAGGAAATGGCACAGGGCTGAGAGTCAGGAGTACGGGGACTCAGGGCTCAAGGGCTGATGCTGCTGCCAGCTAGCTTTGTGACTGACGCTGCGCAAGTCACCTCCCCTCTCAGAGTTGCAGCTGCCAGTTCCCTGCTCTGAGGGTGGTTGGACTCCATGTCAGGGATAGAAAGCTTGCTACTGGGCGGGAGGAGGGTCATGGAGGCAGGCGCCAATGAGGCTGGGGCTTCCTCTGGCCTTTGTGAGCTATTAGGATGCTAGCATCTTGCTGGGGAATGGCCTGGAAGGGGACCTTCACACGGGCTTCTGGAGCAAACATCCTGCCAGAGCCTGTGGAACGGCGGGACCACCCTCATGTGGCCCGACTTCTGGCACCTTTCTGCCTGTTGCTGGATTCTCACCTCCACGGGTCTGTCTCTTCCACCTCTGCCTTCTGGACACCGTTTCCTCTCCGCTGCTTCAGAGAGCTTTGCCTCGGCCTCCACATTTCCTCCTGCTGGATGAAGACTTAGCCCACTGCTGTCTGATGCTTTTCTCCTGCCCTCTGTCAGCTGCCTCCATGCCTTCTCCAAACACCTGGCTCCGCTTACGGGACAGCTGAAGCAGCTCATCCCAGACCTCTACCCTGGTTCCACCTAGCTTGCCCCCACTACTCTGGGGTAGGGGAGGTCCCAGGGACCCCTGAGACAGCCCAGTAGAAGGCTGTGCAGTGGGGAGAGAGTCCCCTGGCAATGTATCCGATGGCTGCTTTGGCTGCAACCTCAGCCAAGATCTGCCTGACTGAAAGCAGCCATCTCCATGCAGTGGAAGGGAGAGAGGCAGGAGAGGAGGGTCTGGTCCATCTCAGCCTCTCATTTGCTGAGTGACTTTGGCCAAGTCACTTTCCCTCCCTGGGCCTCAGTTTTCTCATTTAGACAATGAAGGCTCCACCAGTTGTGACAATCTGTGAGGGTGAGAAGATAGGCTGGTGCTTTGGGAGAAAGGCCTTGTAAGTGATGACAGTCCCCTGGGAGGAGAGGGGAAGGAGATGGGCAGTTGCTGTAGGACAGATGGAGATGAGATGTCTGCAAGGTTGTTCTGGGGAGGGTGTGGCTGGAATGAGCTGCTGGAGGAGCCGAGGGATTGGAAGCCTAGACTGGGATGGCTCAGGTGCAGGATTGCTGGGGCAGTGGGAGCGGAGCAGCTCGGGGAGATGGGACGGAGGAGACCTTAAGGTTCTGAGGAAAAGCCTGGGACGTAAGAGTTGACTCCATGTGTATCTTTGGGTCTCAGTTTTCCCATTCATAGTACAGTGAGGGTGCTCAGTCAGGTAGTATGAGAACTTTACCACCTCTGAAAGCTTTATGTGCTGCAACCCCCCAACACCAGGCTTTGTGGGGGGTGAAAGAATACAGAGGCAAGAGGCAGAATTCAGATGGAAGATTCCCAAGGCTGGGGCCCGAGCACCACCCACTTACTCTTTTCCAGCCCTATTTCTGGGCTCCCCAGTGGGGAGAGGGGTGGTGGAGGCGGTGCCCATGCTGGGCTGAGCCTGCAGTTTTCCTGAGCTCCGGGCTCATCTCCATGGGAACGGGGTGCCTTCCCAGTGAGTTCATTCTGCCCAGAATGCAGGGGCATGTATGGGGAAGTCTTGAGTGAGCTCAGCAGATCCATGCAGCCCCCTCTCAGGACAGAGTGAAGCCCCTGCCCTAGACCTGCTCCCTTGACTCCTGGAAGAGCCCACCCTCCATCCGGCAACGCCTGCGGCCAGGCTGGCCAAGCTCTTCCCCCACTCTGTTTTCTCTCCTGTTCTCAATACACTCTGCCTCAAACCTGTCTTGCTTTCTTTCTTTCGTGCTCGCTGCCTGGCGGTCAGGGCCGTCTCCTTCCTCCCTGATTCTGGCCTGGGAAGTGGGGTGGGACTGTTCAGTTAGGTGTGAATGTGTGGTGTGTCTCCTGTGCTGCCTGCATCTGCTGTGTCTGGATCAGCCATGGGCACAGATGTGTGCTGGCATGGAAGCAAGGTGCCCTCTTCCCCAGAAGCCAGAACCCGATGGAAAGCACGTTCCTATTTTCTCCTTCCTCAGAGTTTGGCTAAAAAGGATGTAGAACCTGACAACCTCTTACAGTTCAGGTTGGTTTGAGTTCTTTAAACGTGGAATTTAAATGCCAGCGCATACATTTTCCTGTTCCCTCAGGTCCTCTTCTCCTCGCCCTACAACAGCGGTTCTCAACCTGTGGGTCGCGACCCCTTTGGCGGTCGAACGACCCTTTCACAGGGGTCGCCTAAGACCATCCTGCATATCAGATATTTACATGACGATTCATAACAGTAGCAACATTACAGTTATGAAGTAGCAACGAAAATAATTTTATGGTTGGGTCACAACATGAGGAACTGTATTTAAAGGGCCAGAAGGTTGAGAACCACTGCCCTACAATGTAAATCTGGCCATTTCCCACGCTCATCACCACCTTCCTCCAGAAAACACTGAATTTCTGCCTCTGGTGGAGAGGAACACACTGCCATCGGGTCAGAACTGGATTCCAGTCCCAGATCTGCACCTGACTTCTGTGACCTTAGACAACCCCTTCCTACCTCTGGGCCTCAGTTTTCCCCTTCAATTGCAATGGAAGAACCTCAGAAGGCAGTATGGGACTAGGTCTGGTCTCTAGCAGTTCCTGTCTGACTTTGCTCTCCTCATGCCTTCACCCCACACATGTGCCCTGCTTTGGGGCTGGTGCTGGGTTAAGTGATGCACTTTGTGAATTTTCACTCATGTGTATTTCACAGTAGTCCTGGTATATACAGAAATTCAGGGTGCATTGAGATCTTTGCCAGAGAGTGAACAGCTCTGATTTCCTGCAGCCTTTTTGTATTGTGCACCCCCCCAACCGCCCCATACGCACACAGAGAGTCAGTATCCAGCCATGGCAATTCCGATGAGGTCAGGCTCTGGCTCACCTCCAAATGATGAGGAGCTGTTCACCACTGCCCCCAACATTCCAATACAAGCTGTTATTCCTTCCACTTGCTGGCCCTAGCTTTCCCCTTGTGGCCACCAAAGGCAGAGACAACCCTTAGAGATTTCAGACAATTACCTCAGCTCCCCCTGCCTCAGACTACTCTTCTGGCTAAAGAGCCCTGGTTGCTCTGCCTCAATGCGTGTTGATGGGCTTTGATCATGAACTCTTGGCCCCACTTCCCTCAGCTGGGCTGACAGCAAGCTTCCTGGGATGTTGCACAGACAGAGCAGCTCCCAGAGTCTCTGGCTCACGTATAAACAACTCTGATCCTGGGAGTATAAGGGTGGATCCCATGCCAAGCTTTAACTTTCTTACTTGGTGATTGAGGCACAGGGTCACTCCAGCATTACCATCCCGTGAAGAACTGTTCAGACGGCTGTACAAACTGCATCAAGAGTCAGAGCTGGATTCTAGTCCCGTATCTGCACCTGACTCCTATGTGACCTTAGACAACCCCTTCCCACCTCTGGGCCTTTTTCCCCTTCCATGCAGAAGGTTCAAATTCTGTGTCTGGACTCATCTACTAGCTACTACATTGGAGAAAACAGATACTTGTGTCCACTGCTTGCTTTTGATTGGGATAAATTAGATTCTGATCAGATGAGAGGCTGAAGGGCTTGGCTGTGGCTGATTACTGATTGAATTAGAGAATGGATGTTATGAGATACTGACTGAGCAGGAGGCACTGAATGGACTGGCTAGTTCTGGACTCTGAGGGATGACTGGTGGTGAATTTGGATTGGATTGAAGGCTGAGTGGACTGGTTTGTTGCTGGGATCTGATTGGATGAACAATTGGTTTAGCAGACCCATGCTGGGGAAGGATCCCCACTCCCTACACTTTCATACCAGTTCAGACTGTTTAAGCATGATGTAGCCTTCAAGCAGCAGACAGTTTCTCTTTCTCTCTCTCTCTCCCCCTCTCATACTCTCATACACACACACACACACACACACACACACACACACACACACACACACACATATTCTCTGGTGAGCAGAACATACTGGATAGTTACTTACATCTTTGAACTTCATCTTCACCATTGGAAAATGGGTGTGATAATGCCAGCTATGTCACCAGTCTGTTGTGAGGATCTAATGAGAGACAAATGAGACCGAGCCTTGTAGACTGGAAAGTCCCTAAGTAGGCAGGAAATAAATATGATAGAGTATTTATAAGCTTAAAGATGTCCATACTACCCACCTCATGCCAAAAGAAGTCCAGTGAGGGGAGCGTGCTGTCTAGAGAGGAATGACACAACTTCCTTTTGTGTTTCCATCTGTCAGTGGGAACTTCCTTCCTGCTCAAGACATTCAAGGAAAAATTAGAAGGCGACCATGGCAACAGGGCAGTGGAGTTGGGGCTGAGAGAGTCTTTGCCTAAGCCCAACCTTAATAATAATGATAAAAATGTTTTAATTTTAGAATAGATAATACATCCATTTGGTTCAAAAATCTAAACTTACATAAAAAGTGATACAGAAAGCCTTATTCCCACCCCTGTGCCTGTGTGCTTTGCCCCACTCACCCCATTTCCTAGCGAACCACTTCGGTTAGTTTCACGTGAATCCCTCCAGTATTTCTTTATGATGAATGACATCGAGTGAGCACTTTCTTTCTCCCAGGAAATCATCTAATACATGTAACACTCTTTACATTAGTTATCTCATTCAATTCTCACAATAGCCCAATGGGGTACGTGCTGACATAAGACCCCCATTTTACAGAGGAGGAAACTGAAGTCCAGAGGTTTCCAGTTGCTTCTGCTGCTGAAGCAACTTGCCCAAGTTCATTCAGTAAGTATAGGGGTCTGTCTCCAAAGTGAGAGTTCGTGACCAGTAGTCACCTGCCTCCCTGTTAAGTGCAGGGGCAGGCATGTGGGCTTTTTCTTTTAAATAAATATATTTTTATTGATTTCAGAGAAGAAAGGCGAGGGAGAGAGAGATAGAAAAGAAACATCAAGGATAATGATTGATTGGCTGCCTCCTACACGCCCCCAACTGGGGATCGAGCCAGCAACCCAGGCATGTGCTCTTGACCTGATTGGACCTGGGACCCTTCAATCCGCAGGCTGGCGCTCTATCCACTGGGCCAAACCAGCTAGGGCCAGCGTGGGCTTTTTCAAGCATCTGGGCTGAGCATGGGGGCATCTACGTTTTACTGCAGGCACTACCTGACTTTAGTCGCTGGCTTTCCTGACTGTACAACGGACAAATCAAACTCGGCCCCTTCCAAAACCCCGGCGTGGAGCACCCCAACACTAACGCTTGCCCCCACCCTCTCTGCTCTCTCCACAGGACCGCCGCGAGAGCCGGCCCACCTCCCCGCCCTGGACGCCAGG